TCACAGGAATATGTTTCAGCTATTAGAACAGAATGATAGTTTTTATAATACTAGTTTAAAAACGCACTTCAAAGATTGCAGTGTTTGAAGATGTAGATTCTCAGGAGGCAACAGTACTGTTGACTTCTCCCTCCACTGGACACCAACTATTTAAGTTGATTTGCATACAAAGCAGAGCTTGCAACATGATAGCTATTCATAAAGAGTGTTTTTTTTTACTTTTCATATAATACAGTAGTCGCACAATGAGGCAGTTCATATTTGTCTCAGTGAATCATTAATTTTTGGCAGACACCTGTCCAAAATACTTGGACTAAAGCCAGCTAAATTTTTCTGTTATCTTGCATGTTTTATGAATCTATTCACATCTAAATGCAGCACTTTGTTTTTGCAATGAGACATTTGTTTTTATTCTAAAATATCTGAATTACTTTGAATAAAGCTGGAAATTATGTTCCTTAGAATAATTAAACAAATAAGGCACCAATGTTTTTGTAAGATATTTACATCTTTTAAGGACATTCGGTAGACTGATTCCCCACTGTTGGTTCAACCCCAAAACTTGTTTGTATTCAAAATTAATTATGACAATGCATATTTATATTGAAACAAACTATGATAAAGGGAATTATATTATATAACAAAAGGCAAGGTCACCAGAGTTCAACTATGTTTGTTTTTGTTTTAAACAAAACTACTATTGAAAGTATAGTTTGTTTTTTAAAACCACCTTTTTTCGAGCTATGTGGATGCATAATCAATTCTACTGAGCAGATATTCTGAACAATTACAACCCCAAAAATCAAGTAAGTGACACCAGGCACACAATGACCTGTTCTAATACTTTTATTTTGAGGACAAATTAAAGACAAATGCGTATAATCCAGCTCAATAAGATGTAGTTTTGAAACGACATTGTCATCTATGCAGGGTTGGTTCTAAATTCTGCCCGCTATAATATAACTACATGTATTTGACTTTAAATGTGATGACTGAAAGTAGAACGCAAAAACTTCTGGTTACACAACATTTAAAATAAAATTTTTAGATAATTTCTTTGGACAGAATAAAAGTGGATCTGAAGTTTCGTGGCGCCAGTCACGACCTGATTTGTAAACTGAAACCGCAGTGCTCCATGCATGAATACAAAATGAAGTGCTAATATATACAACTTCACGGAACCAGTCGTACGACATTCCTGGCAAATAAACATCGAAAATAGTATATTGCTGATTTTGCTATCGTAAACAACCAATTTTGTAAAGTTGGTTCCCTCTTTCCATGGCATATCAAACCACAGATTCTAGTAAATATTGCTAGATTGTATTTATAAAGACATGATATTGATACATGATTAGCATTAACAAACAATTATTTATTAATAAGCTATGCATTTGACTAAAATTAATGAAGCAAATGTAAGTGGTTATACTAGTATATTTTATTTTATTTGACTCAAATTAATGAATTGGAAATACATTAACCATGGTCAATAATCATACACAAAAAACACAATAACACGAAATACAGATATAAAAAATAAAATGTTAAAACGGATTACACTAGCAACTGTAAAATTATGTTGATAAACTTTCCTAGACTGTTGGCAATGAATCTTTTATTCCCATAATATGCACAAACATATCTTCTTTTGGTAATTTTAAAATAGTATTTGCAGTCAAGAATGAGCATGCATTTCATCACCAACAGACTGATCAGAACACAGTGTGCAAAATCTTTGCTCTGACGGTATTTTTTGGTATCTTAATTTTTCAATTGGTAATTTATGTAATGAAATTCTAAATTTGGTTACACTTACTCTGATTTAAATTATTAATTTTATTCAGATATGGTTCATAATCTGATTTGTATTTATTGTAAATACGTAGTTTATTATGTTCCATTTTGAATAGAGTTGGTAACCATATTTTTTCATAGTAAATTCTTTTAAGACAGTTTCTAAAAATGTTAGCATTATGATACGCGTCATTTAATCGAGTTATTTCAAGTAGTTTGCTAACAAAGTTTGCCCATGAATTACCATTGATTGTACACTCTGATAAGCACAGTGGAATTGGGGGCATTTCGCCCAATTACCACTTCGCCCGAACGGTTCCGCCCAGTTCGCCTGATTCCTCGTATGTTTGGTATTTACGTGTAGTCAAAACAAGATAACGCAGAAGTCGAAATTTCAAAGTATGGTCGAAATTTAAAATAAATTAGCGTAAATCGGGCCCTAATACTATATTAATTATATACAATGTTGTGTTTCTATTTCAATTTAAAAGTATGGTCGAAATTTAAAATAAATTAGCGTGAATCGACTGTAAAATCTGACTGTAAAAAAAGAGGAAATAATATATTATTGGTACTATATAAATTGTATTTAAACTTTAAAATACGGTAACGACGTCGTGATTTGCGAGTTTATTAGATTGATAAACGCCGAGTTGGCTTTAGGTACTACTTAGTGTTCAAGTTCCCAACACCGGAGGGCGTACAAAGGTTCCGTCAATGGTCAATCTTTGCATAAAATGCGCGGATTGAAATTATTCTGCCAACGACACCACTGTGAAAGTATTTTATTCAAACACCGATGGTGAAACAAGTGAAAAATCTGTGTATGACGGCCGATGCATACCTGTCCCATTGCCTGTCGGCCACCCCTCCATTGTGAATGGGGATGACTACCCGCATTGGCGGACATCAGTTGCAGTGTTTGCATCGGCAAGAAAACCCTGACTAAAATGCGATCATATGGTAGATTTTATGCATTTTACCAGATGTACATTTCGAATCGAAACCCCCAGTAGGCCTACTGTGTAACATCGGTAAATCGGGCGAAAAGGAAAACGGGCGAACCGGTAATCAGGCGAAGGAGTTCGGGCGAAGTGGATTTCGGGCGAAGTGACTGTACCCCGCACAGTGACTGCATTCTTTATTTTTTTACTCTTAACCAAAACTTGTAAATTTGTGTACAAATCTCAGTAATTAGGGTATAACTACCAAGCTCTGCTCTAACAGCAATATTACTTGCCCTTTTGTGAACACCAAGTAGTTGTTTGTAGAATTTGATGTGGATTGATTCAATGTTTGAGCTATCACTGAATAATTTCTGAATAAATAATTCAGGAGTGATATTAGGCTTAAAACTAAAAGCTGTCCAAACTTCCGAACCGTATAGTAGAATAGGCAAAACAGAACTACGCAATAGTTTAATTGCATTAATTGGTGAGGCAATAATGTTGTTTAATAGCAGAGTTTGTTTTGGGACCCCTAGTGCTCGCTGTGCTTTCTTTACAAGGTTGTTAACATCGACTGTAAAATTGCCACTATTCTGAAAGGTGATCCCTCAGTTTGTATAGGAAGATACTTGTATTTGTTCATCATATCATTAATCCCCCCCTCTTTTGTTGAAAATAATAACTTTGGTTTTTTTGATGTTGACAGTCAGTTTCCACTTTTTGCAGTAGTCATTAAGGTAGCGAGACTATTATTTGTGTTGAAAATTACGATTTTCACATTTATTTATTAATTGATGAAATGCACTATAAACTTGCATCTGATAAAGTCAACGTAACCTAGAATGTCATGTAAGTTGGTTAAAATGTCGATTTTCTGAAGGGAAGCAAGGCAGTTTCAGTCAGGGGGGGAGTTGCATGACACGATTGGTTGAAATACTCGTCTCATTTGCATAAATTAATATTCATGAGCAATGAAAAACTCGTCTTTTCAGTAAAATTGTGCCAAAATGCTTTCCGATAGCATACATGTTAGTTCTAAATTGATTGATTCTATCGTTACGAGCTGAAAAAATAATCGGAAAAATGATGTAAATGTAATTTTTGAGACACGTTTTCGATCAGACTCCAGCTAACTATTGAAAGAAAACACAGGTTTTCTCTTTACCATGATCATAGCAAGTTATGAAATTCATGGAGAATGCAGAGGCACGTTTATATTTCACTCTAGTACTATTGCTCAAAATTGCTCAAAATGTTTTCGGTGACTTTTATCAGTGACAAGTTACCTAATTAGTATGCATTTCGAGAAACCACAATGTGTGTGCATGCGCAGTTTGAAATGGAACAGATTTGAACGCAATAAAATCACGCGTAGAACTCGGGCTCCAGCAAGAAATTGTGGCGTCAAACTGGTTGTCGGTTGAATTGTTTTGCAATAGACATAATTTTGGAGCCTATTTTTGTCTATGAAATGTTTCTAAGTTTTGTTGAGGATTATTCTGTAAAGAAATTGCTTAAATTATTTCATCTGTTCGTAAACGGGACGTTGTTGCTTTGACGGTGGGCTACGGACGACTGACGTCGAAACGTTCCATTCAGGTCGGATGGCGCCCTCTCGTGCCAATCCCCCCTGGTTTCAGTAGTGTTTTCCAAAATCAACAACACAGGTTTAATCTGTGTGCCTATAAGTTTCAAAGATTAACTCAAGACAAAGCAATGTTAGGATGTGTTATCAGTAGCTATCTGACACACAATGAGTGTTTCCAAACATTTGAGTGGTTTGTCTCCGCCCCTGTTTATTTCACAGATTAGTCATATGCATATGAATGTATCAGACACAAGGTCACACAGCCACTGAAAAAAATCATTGATTTTGGCGTTTTCATCTGCCGATTTTATCGAATTATAGCTATCCCATTCCTTTATTTTTTTGTTTCCAATAGCCTTTACACATTTGGATGCCCCTACACATGGTAAAACAGACCTTGAAGGAAAAACAAATCGTTTGTGTCGATAAACAAGCTTGAAAATCTTTGCTGTTACTTCATGGACGTTTTCTAGGAGTTTATGTTTTTCAAAATACAAGGTCTTTAACAAAAAATAACGTATACTTATTGTCGTCGGATTAACACCAAATTTTCACAGCTTTAAGGTGACAATGAGAGGAACTTGAATGTGTCCAGACAAACTATTTCATGGATTATTTACCAATGTGTTGTGGTTTGAGTTGCGGTCAATGCGACTAAAACAGAAATTAAAATTCAGGACACTATTTTTCAAAACGCGCTGCTTGAATAAAACTGACCAGACACATTCAATTTACCAGACTATTGAACAACTAGGAAAAGTGAAAAAAAAACTTCTTATCACCAGCATAAATGCGTAATTATTTTTTTTACAAAAAAAGTATTTTTTCACTTTGATTGAGTAACGCACCGTAGAATTCAGATACGGGCATGGCAAACACACCTTTGAAATGCTTGAAGTCTGGCGATTCCAAAAATATATACTTTCCTGGGTCTATTTGTAGTCGTTTGGTCACAATTAGAAGATGAAAACAAGTATGCAAATAATAGTCCCGCTACCTTGTAGCCCAGAACCTGACTTTGACAATATGACAAGGTCATCCGCAAAGAGTAGACAGTTAAATGACATGTCATGCAGCCTGACAGGTTCAGTTTGTACTGGACTTTCATATAGGTCATTGATATAGATATTAAACAGAGGACTAACTATGTTAATTGTAATTTACACGACTATAAAACTGCGCTATTTCCCACAATTCTGGGGTTTAACCAAATCATTACCAACCCGAATCTGAATGTACAAATCACTCGGGATTATACGTAATCACCGGCAGTGTGAATCTTTCAACTCATTAACATGGAGAACATTGAGGGGGGAGGGGTGGGGGCAATTCACTATTGAAAGAATTGGGCCTTGAATTTTAAAGGGAAAGCCAAGGCTAACTTACTACTCCCAGATAAAAGAGCTCGGCAAATGTAAGAACATGCAATTTACAGTTTTTTTTATATCACTTCATTCTCTAGATATTCAACTTTTCATCAATTTATGTAGTCCGCCATCTTGATTGATTCTGACATCATATAATGCGTTGCCACAAATTGATTTCATTTCCTTTAAACGTCCGTCGATGAATCTATCATTTTGAAATTCATAAGCGAAATATATTCAATGTTAATCTAATGATTTTGCACCATCCCCCTCAACTTACTATATCAACAATCGCGTGATGTCATAAATAAAATTCCACGACTTTTTAATAAAAAGTCCGAGTCGGTGAAGTATAAACATGGGAGACTCAAAAATCATCGTTCCATTTTTTCTTCACGTTCCTAGCGGTGTAACACAACACGTGAAAAAAAGATTGTTTACCTGTACATGAAATTCGCTGTGCTGTTTTGTTCACGTAACTCAAGTTCAGATAACTTTTAATTAAACATCCAGTTATTTGTTTTTACAAAATAGGGCGGGGTTTCAAAACGATGGGCATGGTCATTGTTGTAACTATGCCCATAACTAACAATTTAGCATTTCCTAAGTGCTACACAACTAATTTTGATTCCAAGTCAATCCAGGGCGGCGGCAGCTGCCTGCCTGCCTGCCTGCCTGCCTTACACACCGGTCATGTTTCCGACAACCAATGAGAGTAGCCAATCACAGACCACGTTGCAGCTGGTCATTCTTCGCGTCAATGAGAGACACGAATGTTACCGGCCACAATTCCCCACTGATCTTTAAAGCAGCAGGCCTGAAAATGTATTGTTGAGAAGTTATTTTAACTAGTGAAGCCGTTAAACATGAACCACCAAAGGAGTTTCAGGCTAGAATCGCCAAATCCTTAAAAGTTTAGGGAATGATGATTTTCGTAACACCATGCTGTGTTGTGTTGTGTTGTTACCCAGCCATACACTGGGTGCTTCAGATTCATTTTACAGTCGAAACAATGCGCGCACAATCCAAACTATGGATCAAACTTTTCTTATCAGTTCAGAACAAAAAGGAAATAAAAACATTAAATTCAATGAAAATCTTTATTTTATTGAAAAGTTGTAACATCAAATATAGAATTGCTAAAACATAAATAAATAAATTTCTCAAAAGTTAAATTGTTCCCTCAAAAAAATCAGGTTGGTATATCCACAAATTAGCGCATAAACCGCATCTTGTTTTGTATACTGCCCTCAACGGCAGTCATAGCATATACTATCGAATGCGCCACTTAGCAGCGACGTCAAAAAAGTTATTGTGAAATGCTACCTTCAACATTTTGAAATCTACTGAGCTTTTACGTGAATTTGACATACGGATCCTCGTTCAAGGGCTTATATTTCACGGAGTTATCTTTAGCTTCACAACCAGTTTGGTCAGAAGATTGGAAGTTACTGATATCGATACCACGGTCTTGTACATCTCGCTTGATGTCTGTCAGGGTACCAGTGTTTAGGGTGCGATCACGGCTTAGAATCCAAGCAAGTTCCATCTTGAAGAATCCGAATATGAAGTCGTCACAGGAGTACACTATAGAGTAAGTATCGTAGTCAGTCATGAGAACCCAGTAGTTGACTTCTGGCATCCCTGTAAATAATACATATACAACTTTTTTATATATGGACACCTGATTGTGGCCGTGGAACATCTCGCATTTATTGACAGATTTCCCAATTTAAAATGTAAATGTCGGAACAAAAACTGCAAAATGTGCTAGTTAAAAGAAAATCCTAAAAACATGTTACGACTGTCGCACTGTCTAAATCGTAATATCACAAAGCAACAACTTGAATGTTTCAGAAGGATCAGTAGCCAACACGAGTCGCACTGAAATGTAAAATGTACAACGAATAAATTATTAATATAATCTTACACCATCGCAATTTCACTTTCAACTTAGCAGGCACGTTTGGGTCTGGCACCCGGGCAACGCTTTCAATCGAGGCTTGTTCACCAGTCTTGGCGTCCATCCAACTGCCTATTATTCCAATTACACCATCTTGTTTCAGCCAGTACTTGTCATTAAGGCATTTCAGACCCGATTCGAACCCGGCCGGAAATCTCTCAATCTCATTCCACGAGCCGGTATAGTTTTCAAGTTTGAAGTCATGTTGTACCAGAAGAGTTGGACACGAACCACGTGATATAACCTGTCCACAGACGCTGTAAAATAATGACAAGGCACTGACTGCGAGAATGATAAAACCACGAACTTCCATTCTGATGCCTGTGGAAAAGATAACCGCCAACAACGGAGTCAATGTTCAGCTATTAACAAGGTTGTGCCTTATTGGCTACTCAACACCTGACTGTCAGACCAATCAGAGAGCAGCTTGTTTGTTGACAGTTTTTTTTCGACCTATCAAATTCTGCCTTGTATAGATGCTTTAACTCAACTGCAACTTCAATTGGTTTCTGGTTATAAAGTACTCGTCCACCAATGTTATCCTCTCGCTATCAATAGCCCATCAAAACAGACAACTTGAATGGTTGTTTCAATGAGGTTGGACAGCTCTAGTCTTTTGTTCCTATTCAAACAATCGATAAATTTGCATATTGACTGACGTATACTTCGCATATATTTGACTCCTCGGTTATCCTCATTTTTGTTGAAAAACTATATTGACAAAATTTGTATTTTCCATCGTTCTTTGACCCGACTATTATAATAATTAATTTTAACTAATTTCCATTTAACTTGGCATAAAGTTAAGAAATAATTTCATGTCAGACTAGAACGACGTAATTAAGTAAGTCTGAGTATTCTAACTTTAGTTTTCGGATATTCCCAAAAATAATTGATGTTATATTCTGTGTCTACAAACTCCGGTTTAGTTGCGGCAGCATCACGTTTTCTCATGCTGCCATCCAAATATTCACTGGGTGTTTCAAATTTAACACACAAAATGCCGGGCAACGAACAATTTCATATTTTATCATCTTCTGTTATTGCCGGCCTCTCAGCAGCACTGCCTCGATATATGCTCTGCGACTTCGCTGCTTAAATAACTCAACAAATTTAAACTTTAGGACGAGCTGCTTTGAAGAAACAGTACGGATGAAAACTGTTATTTATTGTAACTTTTATTTTTTTTGATACTCTAAGTTAATTATTGCATTGGGCATGCTTTATCATGGCCTGGTGACATTTGCTGTACCAGACGCATTTACAACATGCAACGATAGTCCAAGATAAAATTACATTTAGTGACTACATCACAGATATGGTAAGATACAAAAAGCTACACGGTTTTCCGAATAAAAGCAAATTATTCTTCCAATCAGTACATTCACTGCCAAGGAAAAACAGAAATAAAACTCTTATTAGGTGGAAAGGCTTGGGAACCTGAACCAGATGCTTTGTAAGATGTACCATAGAGGTAAAAGTGTTCTTTTACCTCCATGGATGTACCTAGAGGTAAGTGTCGAGAGTCGTCCAAGTAAAACAAAAGATATGTATTTATTATTTGTGTAATTAGCTCTGCTTAATAATGTGAGATGTAGAACTAGTTTACTTGCTATTATTGTCGTATATTTTGTTAAATATACTGAGATTGTTCCAGCGATATGATTCTGTGAAAATTGATCACAATTTTAAAAGTATGATAAACATTAAAGTTTGAATCCCATATTGTCTTCTTTAGTAAGGTATTGTGGGTTCACATGCATATTTAGTGACCGTCTTGGAGTACTTATGTAGGTGACACATCGGCATATATTAAATACTGTAATTGGGCTTTAGCTATAGGAGTCAGCGTTGCGATATTTGTATTTGTATGTCATAATCATTCTGAAATTGTGGTTGGACTAGGAAACTTAATTGTCCTACTATTGTCGGTCTGCTCTGATCGGGTCGCCTCGTGGTGTTTTGAATTGAATGAAGCCTCATTGTACAACTATTAACTCGGAATACTGGCTTCCCGGTGTTGAATTGGGCCATTGTTGTTAGCAGTAGATTTTGCGTTCTAATATTTTATTTTAGAAAAGTTGAAGACTTTGCCAAGGCAACTTGAATCTAGTTATCATAACACAACAGTTGACCACCAACAATTGTTAAGAATAAGTTATTCACCTCAGAAAGTATCGATCGAAAAAGTGGGCGTGGTTTCTGAAATATGGGCGTGGTATTTTTTGGAACTCGATGTTTGCGTAACTCGATATACGTAACTCGAACGATTCAGTATCTCCAACAAGAGACAAGGAGACTCCTAAACTTTATTTACAGTAGGGACTGTCATGCGCACTATTGGAAGGTCATAGGTTATTTCCTGAATCATTCCACTTCAAATTATCATGGTACGCAACCATTGACAAAATGATGGAAAGGTCAAAAGATATAACTAATATAACATATGACCATATATGGTCACGTAACCTCATTAATATGCATATCTGCAATATCTCACGTAATCTCATTAATATGCATATCTGCAATATCTACCTTGTTGCAACTAGTTCCATAATGATGTCAACTGGCAAGATATACCAACGACCATACGATGTCATGTGACCTAACTAATATGCATATTCAGTAACATCCTATGCACTCTAGCACATGGGTACATATTTGAAATATTTGCGGCAAAATACAACCAGTACATTAATAAAGGCATTGACAAGAGATGTGGCTGCGTATGTGGTATTTAACATGCATAACTAATATCTGGAGCACAATAATGGGTACATTGGACAAGACGTGACTCGCTGATACGGTCATGTAATCTCATTAATATGCAAACTTTCATACCTCGAGAATATTGCTCAAATATGTGTGCAACCAATATAATAAAGACATTAATAAAAATACGACTAAAATATCAGATTACCTTAAATGGTCATGTGACTTTGTTATTATGGAAAACTTTTGATTATTTGTGATAATATGCAATATGCAAAGCCTTTGCTTTTATTCTTGAAAGCTGTTAAATGTTGCTTTGTAGCTATAATTTTTACTATTTTTATTTCAAAATCTAACCTCAACATATAGAATTACCGAGAATCGAATACAAAATCTTTATTTGTGCTGTTTTGTCTATTTGTAAATATTGCCCTCAGTGGTAGCCTTGGTATATACTACCGTGTTAGTATTTCGATTCTGGCCTCTTTTCTCTCTGTGTGACTGTGTCCCCATGCATGCCATGAGGGCAGTATAACAGGCAGAAAAGAAAGAGACTCGCCAAATCAAGTATAACTTAACAGTAACGTTAGGAAAACCCTGTCCAGTTCTTGTAATGTAACTATTCCAACATTTTAAAATCTACAACTCAAAGCTCCTAGGCGAAGATGGCAGACTAAACCTCGTCCAAGGGTTAATAATTCAAAGTGTTATCTTAAGCATCACAACCAGTCTGGTCAGAGAATAGGAAGTTACTGATATCGATACCACGATCTTGTACATCTCGCTTGATGTTTGTCAGAGTGCGAGTATTGAGAGTGCGATCACGGCTTAGAATCCAAGCATATTCCATTTTGACGAATCCGAATAGGAAATCATCACACGAGTACACTACAGAGTAAGTGTCGTAGTCAGTCTTCAGAACCCAGTAGTCACCTGCCGGTAGCCCTACAAATAATAAAACATATACAGCGAAATTAATTAAACGAAATGTATTTAAAACGAGTCTCAAATACTTTTTTTTTAATTTTACACTTGCAATGATGAAGGAGATTAATTGAAATAAGTATAAAGTATTTGTCAAGAAATTTATGATCACAATTTAACAACGTGTAATGGTCAAAAATAATTATTAAAGAATAGTTTGTTTTTTTACTCTCAATGGCCAATATTTGTTGAGATATTTATTTTCTCGCTTTAACAACTTGCAAAGTAACTTGGGGAATTCAGTGAATAAGTACTAGCAGACAGCGATGAAGAATGCACAAACCACTGAGATACTGTACTATAGTGAACGCAACCGACAACCTTATTGGTGCTAACGCTTTGCACCTGAGATGCTGGTACACGTGTTTTGAAATGTTTTGAGTTAGCTTAAGTAGGGTTTACGAAACCAACAAACACCAAATTAGCGGTAAAGTCTGTCTCGAGATTTACGTGATCATGAACGTGTCTTGGCATTAGGATCGGGTGCTGGTAGAGTTTACGTAATAATAATAATAACAACCTTTATTGATATCGTATCCCTACTGGGATCTAGATTAGAATACAACAAGGATATAAGGAACAATAAAATACATAAGTAATAATAATAAAAAAGGAAATAAATAAATAGTAATACTGTGAAAATATTATTATATAAATATTTTTTTGGTGTTATTTTGAGGCAGCTGGTAAATTGCTTTTCATGAAGTTCTCTCTTTTAGTGAAACAGTCGCTGATAAACTTGGCAATTGCATTGGACAGTTTCAGAATTTTTGTTATTGAGAAGTGCTTTCAGATTGCCGGATAAGTTTAAGTTTTCAAACAAAGCATCTCTTTCAAATTTGTACAGGTTACAATTGAAGAGGAAGTGTTCTTCGTCTTCAGTTTCATTGGAGTCACAGACAGAGCATGTTCTATTTAAGATATCTATGTTGTGATATCGCCCAACTTCAATCTGAAGTATGTGGGCACTTATCCTAAGTTTAGTCATAGATGATCTGTAGATGGGGTTTTTAATAATTTCAAGGTATTTTTCAAGTGCAAAATCAGTTTTCAGCTGTCTGTAGGTACGAAGTTTATTTTTGTGATTAGTGCCTTTATTGTCATTATGTATTGTTTCTGTGCAGTGTTTTTCAAACATATTTTGTTAGTTTTTTTGTAGCTAATGGGATAATACTGGTCTTTTCGCAAACATCACTAATTTCTAAAAGGTTCAGTAATTTTGTTATGCCTGTGGTCCAATTACTGATGTTTTCTTTGTCCAAATTGGTGTCAAGTTTATAAGCCTCAGAGATCAGAGTGTTTTTATCTATATGTTTCATTTTCAGCCAGTAGTTAATCATACGTTTGATGCTTGAGATAAAAAGTGGATATCTTCCCAGTTCAAGTAAACATGCCAAGTTTCAATCTGATTAAAATCTGATGTAGTGTACAGGCTTTAATTATTTTGGCTATAAACTTATTTTAATTTTATGTTTTATTACTTTTGTTATTAATGCCTTTTTATTTTATTATTTTACTTTGATTTTTTTTAAATTCCGCCCTAGGCAGATTGGCCAAGTTTGTGGCTTTACAGTTTACTTGTAGTAGGTACTTACACATTTTGTGATGTAATTTTTCCATAGGCAAGAATTGTTTAAACAAGTCTGTTGAGTGCATATTAATAATATCGCTTGCCCAGATTTCACTACGTAACAAGAAACACCAAATTGGCGGTATTGTATGCACCGGTGCACTTGCACTAAATAAATAAATTTATGAGTAAATCTTTACATAAACAGATAAGATATATAAGTTTTACCAACTGAACCAAACTGTTGGCGGTTCCCACATAGTCTTGTGAATCTACGTACTGTTTAGTGATCATAAAGGCCTCGGTTCAAATCCCACTTTCACGAAAGCAAGCCAAACTACGAGCATGGTTACATAACGAGATAATCATTGAAGCTCTCTAAATGGGCTGCTAATATCCTCTAGTACCCCCCCCCCAATTTATATATCCCCTTTGGGAACTATCGAACTAGAAATTAATGAATATTCATGAGCACTGAAACTACATTGCATAATTTTTAAAAATGCATAAAGTGTAGGTATGTCTTCTGGAATTATACCACGTTTTTAGATACTCTCTATAAATTAGTCACATTTATATCGGGAACGCCGGGAGGGGTCCACATTGCTCGTTCTGGAATGTAAAAATGTAACTAATTAATGATTAATATATTCTTACATGTTCGGAATTTCACTTTTGACTGGTGCATGCTCCATGTTACAATCCAATTCTTTCAAAGTGTTTACGTGAAAGATACTGTAAACCTGGAAAATTACGTATTTTTATACTAGTATTTAGAACTAAACGTCTACGTCACGTGTGTACTTCCCCCAACGACAGCAATATGATTGTCGTTCCCCATTGCTTATTGAATTCTGCTACCTTATAAGTAGGGACCTTAGTTATTTACTGTACAATCAAAACAGTCCTTGAGCTATTGTTATTTATTGTTCAATTAATTTAACAGTCCTTGAGCTATTGTTATTTACTGTTCAATTAATTTAACAGTCCTTGAGCTATTGTTATTTACTGTTTAATCAGAACAGTTCATGACGAAGTGAATAGAAACTACGCAATTTGTTTGCTTATGTGTATAACGAATAAGAACTGTTTTGGAGAAGAAGATGAAAGCATCAACCAGTGAGTCGACATTAATATCAGCTCGATTGGTGACGAGGGGAGCTGTCAGCAAACAGTCCAATCTTACTACTATGATAAAGTCATCGCCCTAGACTCGTTTATAGTTAGTGATTTTTTTCACTGTGTATTAAGAATAAACCTACTAAGTGTTACATACTAGACTACATGTATCTGTATCTCTTCTCTGTGTACGCCCTTACCGCCTGGTAACGATCCCCGTACGTACCTCTAGTCTACCAACTTATTGAGCTAATCTACGATTGCTGAGTTCCCCAAACTCGGTAGAAACCCTGACAACACTTGATGACAGAAACCCTGACAACACTACACTACAAATTGATCACATTGATATCGATTAATATAAACTTACACCACCGGAATCTCACTTTCAACTTAGCCGGCACGTTTGGGTCTGGCACAAAAGCATCCCCCTGAGTCGAAGTTCGTTCACCGGTCTCGATGTTTGTCCCACTGTTGATTACCCCAATAGTGCCATCTTGTTTCAGCCAGTATTTCGCATTTATGCATTTCAGACCAGATTCAAACCAGGCTCGAAATCTTTCAATCTCGTACCACGAACCAGTATATTTGTCAATGTTGAAGTCTCGTTGCAGCGAAACACTCGGACACGGACCGCGTGATATAACTTGTCCACATACGTTGTAAAATAGTGACACAACACCGACAGTAAGAATGACAAGACAGTGACCCGCCATGTCGTGACTAGTACGTGATAGTTACTCAACTCACTCAGGATGAGGCCCGAGAGACGACCGGTATCTGTCTTGTATTGTTGAGTAATTGACAGTAAAGCAGCCAATCAGCGACCGCGTCGCAGTTGGTACTGCGATTCTTTCACTGGCCTGAACCATAGACCTTAAAAGACATGTCTTTTAAGGTCTATCTATGCCTGAACGTGATATTGTTTGGGAATTTTTGTAGACAGTCGACAAACTTCTGAATGATCTGCGTCAAAATACAATATAATGTAAATAAGAGAATGGTTTGGAGAAAGTATGCTGACCTACTTTAGTACTTGAAATTCAATTAAAGCATCCCGTGTATGAGAAGCTAATACCACGTGGAATCGCCCTAACAATAAACCTCTGTCACGTGGTGTTTGCAACAGTTAATCTCCGATCACCTATCAGATGATCAAGTATGGTATCCCCTCGGTATCAATTCTCCCATCATTGCAAAACATCCAATGATTGTTTCCAACCTTTGGACTTTTGCTCGTGCTTTCCTTTCACTTAAGAGATTTCATTTACAAATAGACTGACAGTTTACAATTATTTGACTTCTCGGGTCACTTTCAATTTAGTATGTCAGCAAAATGTGTCCCTCAAAATGCATTTCAGAGGGTCTAGATTTCAATATTTTGATGTTGATCTTGTTGATTGCGAGATAGGTTCCAGCAGCAGTTCGGAGGAGATAGAGCCTGATGAATTAGCGCCTGAAACTGTAGGAGAAGAGCTGGAACGTGAAAGCATACACTGTTTCATGATTAGTGTAAATCTTTTTTGTACTTTTTCTAAGGGGGGCAGCCAAATTTTTAATATGCACCTAGGGGGACTTAACAATTATTTACAATTACTATGTGAATTTCACCGGTTCCCTAGTGATTCCTTAAGAGTTTGAAAACTGTGCACTTCCGGAAATTATGGGAGCGAAACAGTTCGTTCATGATAACACATATTCAGAATAATAAAATAATTGTTTCCTAGTTACGGAATGAACAACTTTTAACTTTGAATGATGGTCCGAGTCATTTTTATCAGCGGTGAACACCTCCATTTCCGCAAATCACGCGCTTCGACATACTAGTACTATGTTTTCTAAGATCCATTTATACACCAATTCATATATACCGAACAAACGACCCGGCTGAGAAGCGTGTAATTTGTGATGTCATCAATTCGTGTGTGGGCACATCTTGTGCCGAAGTGTGTATGAAACATATTATATTACATTTTTTAGTTAAGTTTACATACAATTTTTCAGTGAAGCTTCAAACATGTCCCAAACATGCTCTAACTGTGTTTTTGCAGCGAACGCATTGATGTTCCTGAAAGTGTTCGCTTAAGTCGTCCAAAATTAGACTAGTTTTAAACTAGTAGATAAAGTGTCTGGAAATGTTTGAGACACATCTGAAGTACTTCTCGGGCAGAGTATGACACTAGTCCTATTTCGGTAAAGGCAACCAGGGCAGTAGTCATGTGGCAAGCGACCATAGCGTATAGTTGTTTACTTAGAAGCCTTATAGCGTTTTTACCCGTTGTTATTGTCGATTATGAGTCGATCATGTGAGCGATGAGTTTGCATTTCCTTTAGCTACCAATGCTCAATGGAGATAAAACAAATGTCGCAACCACGGACAGTTTACATAATCTAAGCAATTCTACACGGGGAGCACTTCAATTGAAAAGGAATACAATCGTGGCCACCATTTTCCTTTTAGCTTTTAACGGGGTCTACTATCGGGGTCAACAATTAGTATTCAGAAAGGCCAGCGATTAAAAAAAAACATTGAAAATAATAATAATAAAAAAAAACGATATAACTATTGCTGTCTACTTGTCACAACCACGACTCACTGATTGTTCAAATCCTCGTAAAAAAACGACATTTGAAAAGGCATAGAAGGGTGCGTCGCGGAAAATGGTCCGCTTTTTAAGGGCCGGGACAAATATTTGAAACTTCAGTATTGTCCTATGTTCAGTACCCACTGCTGAAAATAAGGCACTAAAATCAATAAAAAGTATCAATCAAGAAATAGCAATCATTATTCGGGTAGGAAAACAATAATACAATACCAAAGTGGACTCGGAGTTGTCAACCTCGCATGTGGCGAACTGCCATTATCGTTCGATTGTTTACAAACAAGCGGCTACCTATAGGAGCCTTAAAGGGCGGCAGTCGTCGTACTGCGTCCTGCTTGATATGTGACTCATAGCGACATATACAACGCGTGTAAAACACATTGTTTATTTACATGAAATTCGAACACGCGCTGCGCGACGACCACCGCGCTTTAAAGCGGGATGGTCGTCACCTGCGCACGCGCGGGAATTGAGTCCCAAGCGACGATAAAAACACACACTACCAACGCAAAGGCTCATGGGTAGACGCTTGTTTATAAACAATGACACGCTATGGCCATCTGACGCATGCGCAAGTGACGACTCCCCGCTTTAACGATTTTTACATGCGTTGTTATCGTCACTTGGAACTCAAATCTTCCGCGTGCGCATTAACGACCGCCCTGCTTCAAATGAAAATAAATTATCATTTTGTTAATAATATTGTAACTAACTCAGATTTGTACCATGATGTGTTACGCGCCGTTTCGCTGTTGCTGTATTTCAGTTAGTTTAAAACAGTTTTGTTGTTATTTTTGTATTTTTTTCATCTTTGGTTACCAATTTTGTATTCACAAATATTTATTTTGTATTTCATACTATCAACAATTTTCATACGCTTATTGTCTACAATTTTGAATAAATATTATTGATTATATGATTATTCACATACTAAAATGCAGATATTTATAATAATAAATCATTTCAGTAATTTTTTACTAAATAATGATAATCCAATAAATCATAATTAAAAAGATATAATAATTTCTGTTATATAATTTATATTTCATATAATATTGTGTCAACTTGTTGAACAGTTTTTACTAAGACGTGGTTCATTAGATTTTCAAGATTTTGACAATATGTGAATGAGAATAATATGAGCGATGAGTTTGCATTTTATGTAGCTAACACAGCTCAATGGAGATGCAAACACATGTCACAACCACAGACAGTCATTGTTCACACAATCAAAGCAACACAGCGAGCACTTCAATTGAAAAGATGCCCATTCATTTTAACTTAATAATTAGGTGATAAAAAAACTTCTTTTAAACGAAAACTATTTCTGTGTATTTGTCATAACCACTGATTGTTCAAATCGTCGTAAAAACGACATTTGAAAAGGGTGCGTCACTAAAGGGGTTCATTTTTTTTAATGATTAAAAGTGCCGTGTCAACTAATTCATACAAAAGTATTGACAGGGATCTATCTTCAGCAAACTACTGGTACGGCAGTACCGTATCAATAAAAAGCGTGTATCAATGAATAACAGTCATTATTGTCGAGTACTGTGAAACTGGGTTTGCACCATTTTTATAACTTGCTACGTTTTAAACAACCTATTACACCTATTTTTTTTAAATAAAACATTTTTATTGTCTTGGGGTAAACCATTTAAAGTGTTTATAAGTTAGTCGCGAACACCTTCGTTAACAAAACTGAAGGTGTCTCAAAATATTTGCAAAGATGTAGCAAAAATATTGTTAAATAACAGTTAAATTGTTATTTATTATTATAGACTTAATTATACGCATTATAATTATAATTATTTGCACAGGTGTGTGGTAATCACCATATTAGGTGGGATTCAACATTGAGGATCCTCCAAAAAAAATAATAGCTAGAATAATAAGAAAATCTAACAATTAGATTATAAGGTATTGACGTCTGTCTAGCGCTGCGTAATCCAGTGACAACACCGTCCATGTTTAATTTCATCGGTTATTAACTTGTAACAATAATATATATTCTAATAAATATGCTACATTCAGTAGATAATAAGTATTGTGTCTATTATAGACAGTATACAAACCCTTTGTATATGAACACTTACATAGCTGGGTGTTTTAGCGTAACAAATTGCATGCGCGTTTTCTGAAGTGCTTCAAAATAAAACAGGTTTGAGGTACTTTTGTATACATGCCGTATGCAGAAACACTTGTGAAACATGAATAGTCAGGGGTGTTACTTCAAAACATTGCATGTGTGTTTATGAAATGTTTCAAGATAAAGCAATTTGTAAAGTGAAGTGTTATATCCCCGTTTAACACAAATGTGCCTTATACATACACTTTGTTTATAGCCTGGTGTTTTCAGTTGAAACATCGTTGGCGATTCAGCTTTCTGAATTGAAAAGTTTTCGAGAAAAATGTTTAAATTAAATGTGAGAATGCTCAGATGTGATTTGAACTACAACCACCATTCACCAAATGCGAAATATTATAATACACACGTTTTCAATTTAAAAAGTATTTCGAAAATTTACAGTGTAATTTAAACAAGAGATGGTGAAGTTATTATTATTAATTTTTATTATTATTTAAAAATACAAACTACGTCATAACAATAAAATGGAAATGCACAATCATAAATCTCTTTTACCTTAACATATAAATGATAAAAAGGTAATTGGGATATCCGTTCTTTTTTAATTGTGATCGACTGTGGAATCCATAATATTTACTGAAAATCAACACATACATTACTAAAAAAACAAAAACAAATAAATAGCATTCCGCTTGTAAAACTCAATGGTGGCGCTTACTTAATTCCAGTCTCTTGCCGCTGTGCATAATAAGTAATAAGCAGTGTAGCAAACGTAATTGACAGACTGGACGGGGGGTCTAACTCAGCCGTGACGTCAAGAGATCTCCTTCGAGTGCGAAATAATGAAAGTGTTCTGAAATCTACAACTTCGGGCTTCTAGGTATTGGTGACAGACTGACCCTCGTCCAAGGGCTTATATTTCAAGGTGTTATCTTTAGCATCACAACCAGTTTGGTTAGTGAATAGGAAGTTACTGATATCAATACCACGATCTTGTACATCTTTTTTTATTTTTGTCAGGGTACGAGCATTTAGGGTGCGATCACGGCTTAGAATCCAAGCATATTCCATTTTGACGAATCCGAATATGAAATCGTCACACGAGTACACAACAGAGTAAGTATCGTAGTCAGTCTTCAGAACCCAGTAGTCACCTGCCGGCATCCCTGTAAATAATAATACATATATTTCTCTATACATTTCTTTTCAAATTTGTAATATAATGGTTATTTACAAACAGAACATGTGGGCATGGATTAAATTACGTCACATTCACTGCAATTCTCTCCTTATAATTTGGTCACTCAAAGTCACTGACAACATAGTACCCCCATGCTGGTATTAATCCTTGCACAAATTTCGATTTTGTTTTCATACGTGCACATTTCAAATTTGTACATCTCATTTTCAAAATATGGTGCAAGTAAAAAATATTACGAAATATTACCCATGATGCTATACTTTTTTATTCTATCTGATAATATTTCACCCACTACTGCTGCGTATTGGTTGATTCAGTAAGTTATATTTGGGGTTGTGTGCAGCATAAACCACAGTGCGTGTAGTTGACTGACTTCGATTGTTTCTTCACATGTATTAACATGCTGAACATCGTCTTTAATAGTAACACAGTTTGGGATTCATCAACTTCAGTTATATGACATGATTTTTTATTAATGTCACAAAAAGAAATAATCTAATGGAGGCCCAACCATGGTACATGTACTCGAAGTATTAAATCAATCTAACTGTCCAACAAGTCATTGTCAATGACACGTCCCCGTTCCGTTCATATTTGAGTGACATATACATTCAAAGCAGATCATGACCGAAATGCACCTGCATATGTACAACACATTGTGCTAAATCTGAACAAAATCCATCCATGCATGACTGAGATCCGGTTCTGGAATTGTGAAAATACGTGATTTTGATGCATTTTCGGCCTTAAAATGGCCATCATTCCGCTATTGTTAAGCAGATCATGAAACAAATGCACATATCTATTTGTGACATGATGTACCATGTGTGTGTGAAGTTTGAACTTGATCAATCCAGACATGTCTTGGATACGGATCCAGAACTGAATTCTTTAACAAAATGGCCGCCAGTCGGCCATTTCGAATTTGATCCGAAAAAAAAAGACGTGCATCAAGGTCCTATTATGTTTAATGTATGTACCAAATTTGAACACAATCCATCCATGCATAACTGAGATACGGGTCCGGAATGGTGAAAATGTGCGATTTCAATGCATTTTCGGCCTTAAAGCGGCTCCCATTTGGCTATCGTTAATGAGATCATGAAACAAATGCACATACATATTTGTGACATGATGTACCTTGTGTGTGTGAAGTTTGAACTTGATCAATCCAGACATGTCTCAGATACGGATCCAGAACTGAATTCTTTAAAACAAAATGACCGCCAGTCGGCTATTTCGAACTTGATCCGAAAAAAAAATGACGTGCATCAAGGTCCTATTATGTTTAATGTATGTACCAAATTTGAATGAAATCTGTCCATGCATAACTGAGATCCGGGTCCGGAATGGTGAAAATGTG